AGCTGCCCTCGGGGGTCTCTCCCCGCGCAGCCCCTGCTCCAGACGGCCCTCCCCCCGGGCGCGCTCGCAGACCGAGGTAAGAGCCGCAGGAGCGAACAATGTGCCTCTGTGCGGGGCTGCAGAGACCTGTTTGCTTTGCGCCTACTGCCCGGGGGTGGATGCTGGAGGTGGAGAGAGCCGCGGGTTTGTTCGTGCTTGGGTGTTTGTTTATGTTCGTCCTGAACAAGGGTTAGACCCTGTGCTTGCTAGAGCTGCGCCCCCTCCTTCCCCCCACCCCCCCAGAAATCGATACGAGGAACTCTCAGCTCCGTCCTGCTTTCTGCTGCTTTGCTCGTGGAGCCTATTGTAACACTCTGGAGTCATCAGCCTAGTTGCGAGGGGCGGGGGGGTGGGGGGAGACGGGGACACGGGCGCGCGTGTGTATGTGTGTAGTGTTGTGGGTGGCTGTAGGACTGCGTTGTGCGTTTTTTTATTTTCTAAAAGCTTGGGATGGAAAGGTGCTGCTCACCCTTTCACCACTGGGTTGGGGAATAGGAGAGTAAGGCGGGCCCTTGGCAGGGCTTCTCGCGGTGCGGGGGCCCGAGGGCAGGCAGAGAGCGCGCCCTTGCTGTCCCCCCTCCAGCTGGCCCATCCCGGCCTGTAAGTGGAGCGGGAGGGTGGGCGAGTTCAAGGGGAGGGCTCGGGTGAGTTGTTGCGGGTTGTTGATTCTTGCCTGTGGTTAAGGCGGTATGGAGAGTTGCGGATGACAGGAAAGCGCAGCCAGATGTGGCCCGACCGGTGCTCGGGCTGACAACGATTAGGGGCGGCGGGCTGCCACTGGAGAGGCGGCCCCGCCGGGCGGGAAGGTGGCTGGGCCGGGACCCGGCGGGCGGCGAGGAGGGGAGAGCCTCCCGGACTCGCAGTGAGAGGGCAGCAGCGGGCCGTGTTGGGCCTGCGGGGGGAAGTTACGGTGTCGCCTTCTGCGCTGGCTGTGGGGCTGGGAGCTCTCCCGGAACCTGGTTGGTAGGATGGGGTGACGATAGGGAGCTGAGTGAGAAAAAGGCGTGGGAGGAGCGCGTGGGAAGGGGAGACCCTGGCAGTGGATAGTGGGCTCTTTGATTGGCTGGGAGACCCTCTGGCGGAGAGGTGAGGGCGAGCGCACGGACCAAAGTGCCTCAGCCTAGGGGAGGCACTTTACTTCACTCCTTTGGTCGCGACTTGCAAAGTTTTTTCCTTTCACTCAAGTAGGAGGCTTAGGTTAGGGGAAGTCGTGGAAGCTCTGCATAGCATCAGAGTGGCTCTGAACGGAGGTGGGGAGGAATACGCTTTTCATGTAGTGTGTGTGTCTGTGTGTGTGTGTTAACTGCACTCTGAAACCTTAGTTGGAGGACAAAGCCTGCCATGTCCCTCTTCTAGCGTGTTGTTCTAGGCACTCCTCTCTCATTCCTCCCTATTCCCTAGCTCCCTCATCCCTTATTCCTCATGCCAAACTGTGTTGTCTCCAATTCAGACCGAGGAAATGTTTTCCTCCTGTTTCTTGAAAGGTGTCAGGCTGTTTAGCAGCTTCTCCGAGCAGCCTGGGAGCGTCTGAGTCGCAGTCACCGACCATATGGTTCCCTTTACAAAGGCCAGGTTCTAAGGCAGGCTTCTCCCACCCTGCCCCCAATTCTTATTTTCTTGTGCATTCTTTGCAGTGTGTGCACTTCTCTCTTCTGCTTTCCAGAGAAGCAGGTTTTAACAGACATAGTTGGTTCATTTAGTTCCCTGTCAATGTTTGTGTCTGGAATGGGCCCCACTGAGTTTGCTCTTTGCTCAAATGGAGTTGCACAATGATGAAAGTCACATCCGTTTGGTAAATAATTACCTCTTGGGATATCTTATAAAACAAATGTGGAGCTGGGCAAACCTTAGAAGATGGTAACTAACAAAGCAATGTGTGCCCATAAAAAAAATTTGGGGGGGGTGTCTTTGAGTTTGATGGGTCACTTTTGATTTAGGTGAAGTGATTGCTGTACATGTAAGTTTGGCATTCTTAAAATGCCTGCGAAACCCTTTGTAAGAAAGTCTGTTTTCTATTCTGCAGTCTGTTCAGGTGTGTCATGGTACTTTTTGTTGCCCCTCTCACCCTCCTCCCTTAAATTTATGCCTGATATAAAGAATACTGCAGAACAAATGTTCTGTTGTTTAGTTTCTTCAGACGTTCTGAGTCTCTCCTTTTGTTGCTTGCCTCTAAAAGAGGTGCCATTTCACATCATTCTGCACAAATTGTTTGAATTAATGCAAGTGTGAATTCTTACCGTTTGAAGGGGACTATTAGCATATCAAAGGTTTCTTAGCTTCAGCTCAATTGAGAAAACTTCAGCCTGTCTTCCATTTGCTTCCAAGCAGAGGCCCAAAGGGCAATGAGAATTGTAAAGGGTAAAAATAGGGAGGTGGATTCAGGCTGTGTTTCTGAACTTTTACTGTTTTGTAATTATGTGAGCAAAAAAAAATTGTCTATTGCTGTGAAACCCTTGCAAATGGCAAGACACTTATTTTCTATTGATAAATCGTTTGTTCTAAGAGAAGGGTAAACTTTTATGGTCGCCACTGTTGCCTCTCTTTGGGGTCCCTTCAGTGGAAGAGATTTAGAAAACCTTGCCTTCTAATGTCATGTTTTTCTAGAGTCTGCACTTTATTTTATTAGTAAGATGAGAAAGGTTAGTCCATAAAATAATTGAAATCTTGTGATAAAAGTGCAGTCATTTTTACACCTTTATTTCTAATGAACATACCGCATTATTAAGGTAAAAATCAGTGAGATTTTAGCATTAAAAAAGCCAGCATGAACTTTTGTCAACTTTTATTGCAAGTGTAACTTTGAAAATTATCTCCAAGTAATAAAAACCCAGCTTTTCATGACTTATATTTTTTGTTTCAAAATGTATGTTATCAAACAGTAAACTTTTTTCTAGTATTCAGTTTAAAGTTGGTTGTTTTCTTAATGTTTACAGATCTTCCTTCTTTTCACGTTTGGAAAGACATTGGTTTGACTATCCTTAACTCATACTGAAGAAATGAGTCTGAACAAGTACTCAGATCATTTGGGTCATTTGATGAAGATCATATGGGTCATGGGAAAAGAAATTTTATCTTCAGCTTACTGGAAATACTTTGTTAAGATTTTTTTTAAGAAAACTAGTTTAAGATAAAGGTGACTTTCACAGACAGTTTTTGATATTTGTA